TTTCAAATTTAGGGTAGAATTTTTTTTGTGGTAAATGAAAAAAAGGATTGAATTACTTTTGCTGATGTTAGCATATTTACTAATTGAAGGCTCAAGTTTTATCTTTCATGGGTTGGCTAGAATTATAGTTGACCATTTCAGCAACAATGAGGCACATTTTTTTTTTAAACTCTTCATGGTTTGTTTGAGAAACATCTGTCATTTCATGTTTGTTTTCTTCCTTGTAGTGTTCTCCCCTTTAACAATCCCAATATCTTTTAAAATGATCTGAATGCAGGGGGCTCAAGAACATCCTAAGGATGCATATTAAAAAGGTCAATTGCTCAGAATGGGAGCAGATTGCAGTACCTAAAAGGTCAGTTCAAACTTCTAATAAGTTAATTTCTTGAGATATTCTCATGAGAATTTACTTTTGAGTATCTTTACTGATAAGTCATCCTTATTAACTGTTTTCTTTTCTGACAAGTCACAGTCAATAACTGTTTACTTTTCTAATATACATGAAAATCTATCAAACACAACCATTTATTAGATTTTTTAAGAAGTTTCATTTGATAAAGTAGCTTTAATCTGGATGGCTTGATGCTATGCGTATACTTTGTGTTTCAGTGTGAGGGCAATAGTTGCTCTAAATCTTCATAATTATGGAAGTGGACGGAACCCATGGGGTAATTTAAAGCCAGAGTATTTGGAAAAGGTATGGTACATTTCCTACGGTTGCTTAATGTTGTTATTATAGCTAGAGCTTTTCACCATCCTATCTGCTTCTCTACAATGCTCCAGTACTCTTTTCATCATATGCATAATGGTTTTCCCCTTTTATTTTGCCGTATTTTGTTTTGCTTGTTTTGTGTACTTGTGTTCTTCCTGCTTGTATTCATTTTCCAGAAAGTTATTAATCAAAAAAGGAAAAAAAAGAAAAAGAGTTAGCAAAACTATTTGCCATTTTGTTTATTAATTTATGATATGTATGGTCCAACGGCAGATTCATAGATTATGTATATCATTATCTAGTTTGTGAACTGATCCAAAGCACAAAGCCTCCAACTTGGAAACAATTTCTTGATTCTTGATTAATTTTAATGAATTTTTTTTTCACTAAAAACCCATTATTTCACATATTTCTTGGATAATTTTTTTGAATTTTAAGTTTCTGTATTAGTAAAAGTTTCGATCTTCTAACAACTATATTTGACTAAAATACCTGTTTAAATATAACAAAAGCTAGCCTCTTTGCTGTAGTATGTTTTTGTATGTGTGTGTGAACTGCAAGACAATGACTATTGAAAAATAAAAGGAAAAAGAAAAATGCCATGGATAGGATCTATTTTAATGTTATGATGCCATGATTTCCCCATAGTTGGGGTCTGTTGATATGGATAGGTTTCTATTGAGCTTATATAGAGATTGTTGATTTTAAGACCAAGGGTGATCTCCTTGTTTAATTATTCATTCTCCAGAGAGGTTTTGTGGAGGCGCATGCTGATGATGGTCTGTTAGAAATTTTTGGCTTAAAGCAAGGATGGCATGCTTC